TGGTTTTTCCGTCGTTTTCTCGTGCGTTTTGTCCTTCCCTGCGTGTGTGACCCTGTAGGCTCATTCGATATAGTAGTATAACCTGAAATCTCTATTTCGGATATACAAGTCATAGGCGGTCTCTAGCAAGACACTATGACTACCTATCTCGAATAGAGTTTGTTCGTGAAGCTTTATTCAGATACATTTGATGTATTGATACTTTCTATGGTTTTATGAGAGTATTTGATTCATTACATGTTCTTGCATACTAGATCTGTTATGAAATCCATGTATCATTATGAATGATACTTAACTCCCTAGTCTTGTGTCATTATGAGAATGATGACATAATAAGATTAGTATGATGTGTGATTGATGATCATAGCGATGATCATAGGTATTGGATACGATCACTGTCATAGGTATTCGTTGAAGAACGGAATACTGGATTGACCCGCATGAGATTGTCACATGGACTAGCGTCATGACTTGAATCTCATATGGCGGTTCCATGATTGGATCCTAAGACCTGAGATATCTACGGAATCCAACATGAGGAGTTGCGTGCTTTGAATACGTCAAACGTCCTGCGTAACAGGAGGACATGCGGGTCAATCCAGTATTCCGTTCTTCAACGAATACCTATGACAGTGATCGTATCCAATACCTATGATCATCGCTATGATCATCAATCACACATCATACTAGTCTTATTATGTCATCATTGCCATAATGACACAAGACTAGGGAGTTTAGTATCATTCATAATGATACATGGATTTCATAACAGATCTAGTATGCAAGAACATGTAATGGATCAAATGCTCTCATAAAACCATAAAAAGTATCAATACATCGAATGTATCTAAAGAAAGCTCATAAACAGTACATCATAGAGCACTAAACCAACAAGGATTCCGTCAGATTCATGGTATTGACTATAATGAGACCTTTTTGCCTGTAGTAATGATAGGATATGGCAAATGGATGTCAAGACCGCGTTCCTTAACGGGAACTTGACCAGGATGTGTATATGACACAACTCGAAGGTTTTGTCGATCCAAGGAATACGAGGAAGGTGTGAAGCTTCAGAGATCCAATCCCGAGGTGTAGATACGTGTAGAGGACGAGGTAATCTTCCTCCCTTTTGCGATTGGACGAACACATCGATTGATACAGGTCCCGGATCGATTAAGGTAAGCGTTCTAACGTTTCTACGATCATGCATGCATGGTTTTAGGGTTTAATAGAAAATTTTTGTTTTACATCCGCTGCGCAAACTCTATAATCGATCTCTTGGGAATTAGATTCACTGTAGAGATCCCAGGAATCCCAACACCAGATGGATTTACGATTGAGTTCTATCAATCCACATAGGATATAATTGGGGAAGAGTTATCGGAGGGAATCAGACACTTCTTCAGTTCGGAATGGTTACCTAGATTGGCCAACTTAACTACAATTATGTTGATACCAAAGTTTGTTGGAGCAGAGCATTTCACTGATTTTCGACCCATTTCATGTTGCAACTCTGTCTACAACATTATTGCCAAGATGTTGGGGAATAGAATTAAACCTCTTCTATCGAGTTTTATCCAACCGAATCAATCCGCGTTCATTAAGGGCAGGCTGATTACTGAGAATTGTTTGTTGGCAAATGAGATTGTCAGAGACTATCACCGGAAGCCTATATCTCCTAGAGCAACGCTGAAAGTGGACATTGCGAAAGCTTTCGACGCTGTTAGATGGGACTTTGTTATGACTATGTTGCGGGCTTCTGGACTGCCGAGACCTTTGGTCTCCCTTATTGGCAAGTGTATTACTACGCCATCCTACTCTATTATAATTAATGGGGTCAGTACGGTTACTTTGAAGGCAAACGAGAGTTAAGACAAGGTTGTCCGCTATCTCCTTATTTGTTTGTCTTATGTATGAATATTCTTTTAATCATGCTTAATAATACTGCGGACCGAGGGGAGTTTGGCTATCAACCAAGCTGGAAAAACAAGACAACACACCTAAGCTTTGCAGATGATTTACTTATCTTCTCAGATGGAAAAATCAGTTCTATTCAAGGGATTATGGCGGTTCTGAACAGATTTTCAGCAATTTCAGGTTAACCATCAATACAAGCAAGTGTTGTTTCATCTTTTGAAGTTTGACGATACAGGAAAGTGAAGCAATCCAGGTCTCTATGGGCATAAAACGACTGATTTTCCTTTGTGTTATCCTGGGGTGCCACTGATTTCCCGGAAACTGAGCATTTCTAATTGTTTTCCCTTGATTGATCATATACGCTCCAAATTTTCTTTTTCGATTGTGAGGGCTCTTTCTTTTGCTGGGAGTTTAAGATTGCTACAATCTGTCATATCGGGTATAATTGGCTATTGGATGCAGGTCTTTGTTCTACCAAGGAAGTGCATAGCACAAATTAACTCTATGTGCTCGACGTTTCTTTGGAAAGGTTCGGTAGATTCTCAAGGAGGAGCTAAGCTGTCTTGGTCGAGAGTTACCACACGAAAAAAAGGAGGGCTTGGTTTGAAAGATCTCAACCTTTGGAATGAAGTAACTGTTTTAAGGCTAATTTGGTTACTTTTTTTAGGAGTGCCTCTTTGTGGGTGGCTTGGATCCATACGAAATACCTATATAGGAGTTATTTCTGGAGCACTAGGTCTAATGCTAGTCACTCATGGTTTTTTCGTAAGATGGTGAAAGAAAGAGCCGTGGCTTGGAGTTTTTTCTAAACTACCCTTGAAAATGGGAAAGAACATCATTTTGGTACGACAACTGGTGTAACATGTTCGGACCCATAGACCCGCAAAGACTATGGATCCCAATTCAAACCAAAGTGGCGGTTTTTTTTACTGTGATGGAGCATGGAGATTGCCCTTGGTGCAAATGGATCAGACTCTTTCGCTAGCAACATTCCTTGTTGGAAAGATACTATCCGCAATGATGATACATAGGACTGGATAGTTGGAGGCACACTTGCAGATGATTCAATACTAAAGAGGTATAGAAAGCCACATCCTGAAATTTTCGTTCATAGCCTGGTTGTTTGCTCATGACCGCTGCCCAACAAAGGAAAGAATGACTTCATGGAGATTACAAGTTGACATTAAATGTTTGTTTTGTGGCGATGATTTGGAAAACATGAACCATCTCTTCTTTGAATGTCGTATCACACGAGATTTGTTTATGTGGGCCATGAGAAAATTGGATACTCCGCCTTCTCATACGTCTTGGACTACAATTCTAAGTTGGTTGTTAGGGAGATAGAGATGCTAAATTCGGCTATTGGAAGTTCAGCTAACGTGGAAAATTGACTTGTACATTATCTGGATAGAGCGGAACTCCAGGATACACATGGGATGTTTCAAGGATCTAGCTACCATCAGTCAAAACATTGACCGTTGTTTCCGAAGCAAGATGACTGTCATTAGATACTCTCACCATAAACTGACCAGCTCACTACTCCAGATTTGGTTCTCGATTTCTTGACAAAGATAGTCCGATCCTTTATCGTTTAGTGATTATCCGATACACGTAGTCATTGCTTTGCTATACATATATGAACTAGATTGTGTAAGCCTTTTGTAAACTTATAGGTTAATAAAACTCTTTTAGTATTTGGTCATATAAAAATACAGTTACACATTTCACCTAAAAAAAATCTAATTTGAAAAATAACAATTAAAATAATTTTAAATTAAAAGTTTTGGAGGAGACGCGTCGGCTCCGACCCACGTGTTGAACAGTCCAAAACGGCAAAAAGATTATGAATTAGCCTTCTTGAGGTCCGCCAGCCTCCTCTCCGACACCACCAATGGGTCCTACATCCACCAAAATCGATTTTCTGTATTTTTTTTTATATAATTACTATTTTTCACCTTTTCAACACATTTTCCTCGATTTATGTACATCTTCGTTTTATAATGATATGAAAAATAGCATTTTATCATTCGCGCCCCACAAATCCTCGGTTTCATTCGTGATACAGATTTCCTCAATCTCCCTCTTCCCCTCTCCCTCACAGACACACGCAGTTTCTGCCCCTCATCCATCTGGAACCTTCGATTTTGATTCCACCTCCAGAACCCTTGGAAGGGTTTTGCCTCTGCCGTTATTGCTGCTGCTGTTCATAGACCTCTTGTGACTTTTCCGTGTTGGATCTTTCTTATTTTCGCGGCGGAGATGCTTAGTTTTGCGACTTCGGCGTCGGCTTCAATTTGGAGTTTTCGGTGAAGAAGATTCATAAATGTTTCTTCAGTCTTCTTCTTCCTCGAGTTTTGATTTCCCGTGTCGCTCTTATGTGTCTCGCTATATGTTTTGTCCGTTCTCCGCGAACAAGCACGACTCGGTTGCGTTCCGCGATGGATTCTCGAGGAGGCGGATTTTGCGTCGGAGATTCGGAATTCCTATGTCGAATACGAAGGTTAGGTTAATTTCTTGTGGAATTCGAGGGGATTCAAGTAACATAGGATTGGCAAATTCGACGAGAAGGTTAACAAAAAGCCTTGTTATCGCTCGGTTTTCGAATGAATTCGAGGGTGAAGAATCGTCGCAGGAATCTACGATTCAGGATTGTAGAAGCGATTTCACTGACTTTAGAGAAGATCCAATAGTTGATAAGCTCAGGACTCAGTTGGGTGTAATCCATCCGATTCCGTCTCCACCCATTAATCGTAACGCAGTAGGCCTGTTTGTGCTCTTCTTCTTTGTTGGGGTTGTTTTCGATAAGCTATGGACGTGGAGGAAGAGGCGGAGACAAATGAGCAGCGAGAGTGGGCACCGAGGAGCAGGACCATGGCCACAGGTTCCGACCAGCTTCTCATTGTTCCTCGAGAAGGATTTGCAGAGGAAAGAATCGGTGGAATGGGTAAACATGGTGTTGGGGAAGCTCTGGAAAGTATACAGAGCTGGGCTTGAGAATTGGATCATTGGATTATTGCAGCCGGTTATTGATGACTTGAAGAAACCAGATTATGTCCAGAGAGTTGAAATCAAGCAGTTCTCTCTTGGGGACGAGCCTTTGTCTGTTAGAAATGTAGAGAGAAGGACATCACGCCGTGTCAATGACTTGCAGTAAGTTTATTGCTGTTTGCTTTTGTTGTCTATATATTACTTGTTTTCTATTTGTTTGCAAATAATTGTATTGTTATATGGATCAAATGCGTGCAAATTGTATTTACTCGGTTTTGGTTTGAGAATAACGGTTCTGTAGTGCGAAAGTTGCTGTTGTTTACACTTGGCTGTCTGCTGCCCATTTGGATTTTCCTCTGTTGGTATTTGGAACTATGAAATGCTTCAAGCCTGTCTTCTCATCAATTATAATGCCCTTTCTTCCTCTTATAGGTACCAAATTGGTCTTCGGTATACTGGTGGGGCCCGTATGTTATTAGTGCTCTCTTTGAAATTTGGTATCGTCCCAGTAGTTGTGCCAGTTGGTATTCGTGATTTTGACATCGACGGTGAGCTTTGGGTTAAACTGAGATTGATACCAACGGAACCTTGGGTTGGAGCTGTATCAATGGCTTTTGTATCACTTCCGAAGGTCAAGTTTGAGCTGGCGCCCTTCCGATTGTTTAATCTAATGGGTATGACCGTATGAGTAGATCTTGGTCTTCTGATGTTTTTTCTCATAATCTGAGTGTTTTTTGCTGCTTTCAGTTCTTTCTTAGAAGTATTTTCAAGTCTGTTTTTAGTGGATGTTTAGTTGTTGCTGAATACGCTTGGGCAGGAAAGTAAGTTGTTTGATAAAGACTAACCAACTTAAGAAACTAATTGATGAATTAGGATACGTAAAACTGGGTCCCTTCAGTTGTTTTTCATGTATGTCCTTTTTTCTGCTGAACTGTGAGGCTAAGTCCTTAAATGCAGCATAACATGAGGATTAGGGTGACAATTACTGTGAAGGAACGGTGATTTCTTTGCAGAAATCATCACTATTCTTTCAATTTGACCATCATTTGGTGAAAAATTGTGGCAGAAAGAACATATCAAGGCCTCACATCATCTCTGCACAGAACCTATTTCTTCACTGTACTCTTAGGCATCTCGTTTTCAGTAATATGAATGGTTTATTGATCAGAAAATGACAGGTCAAAATGTTGCTGTTCATATGTTGAATATCTATTCCTGACATTTTCATATAAAGTACAGAATACTAATGTTCTGCTCTTCTTTTCATGAATGCATTGGTTTGGGCACCTTCAGCCATTCCTGTTCTATCAATGTAAGTCCTACCGTGACTCTTGTATCTTTCTTGTGGGAATGTTATTGCTCTTATATATGGTTCAATATTCATTTTTCTAGTGTTCGGTGTTAGAAAAGCTACCTTGGTTGTGTGGATGAGATAAGGCTGCACAAAGAGAGTTCGTGTCATTTTTTTCGCAATAGATTAATGTGTTTTGCATAATCGAAAAGCATATAATGTGGGAAACAATGATGCGTAGATTCTAACCATTGTCTATTTATCTCTGTCGATTGCTTAATCTCTTTCATGGCTAATGTGTTGGTTTCTTCCTATCTTCCCGTTGACTTATCTTAGCTTTGTCTCTCTCAGGTTCTTGACCAAACTTCTGACAGAGGATTTGCCTCGATTATTTGTCCGCCCAAAGAAGATTGTCTTGGATTTCCAGAAAGGAAAAGCTGTTGGACCTGTTGCAGAAGACCTCAAACCAGGAGAAATGCAAGAAGGAAACACGGATTTTGTCGGAGAACTATCTGTTACCCTTGTTGATGCACAGAAACTTCCATATATGTTCTATGGTAAGCTACAGACTTTAGTTTTCTCTTCTCCATGTCAATGTTTCATATATTTAGAGAAAAGTAGATGGGCAGTCAGCATCATAAATAGTGTTTTATGTTTCCCCCCTAGTTACTATTATTTTTTGGAACAAAATCTATATATGTAGGGTGATCACCGTATGATGAGATGTTAATGTTCGATCTTTCATTTTTGCTTTTTGTTTTATAATTGTAACAGGTAAAACAGATCCATATGTTATTCTAAGATTAGGGGATCAAGTTATTCGCAGTAAAAAGAACAGCCAAACTACCGTCATTGGGGCCCCTGGTCAGCCTATCTGGAATCAGGTGGAACACTAGAATCTGTTTATACGGTAGTGAATTGTGATTTATTAGTTTTTAAAACTTATTAAAATTACTGTGTTCTCAATTTTCGCAGGACTTCCATTTCCTCGTTTCAAATCCTAGAGAACAGGTCTTACAACTTGAGGTTAACGACTGTCTTGGGTTTGCTGATTTGACTATTGGTACTGGAGAGGTAAATCATCTGTCTGTAGTGTTTTATCCGCGCGATCAGCGTAAGGATGTTCTTGTTGATGATAACTATAACTATATTAAAGAATATTGATGTGTACTTCAGTGTCAGTCATTCCCTTCTATTTCATTCTGTTAAGGAACCAAATGCCTACTCGGTAATTGCTGCAAACAAACTCGTAACGTGCATAAATATGGGGGACTGAACCTTTATGAAAGTGCCTTTGCCGGATAGTACCCAGTATTGAGGGAACATATCCGAGCTTCCTGTCATGAGCTTCTGAATTATAGCCTAAGTCACTCATTTCATAAGACTTGTTAATTATTTAGTCAGTTACTGAACTTTTTTGACAGTGTATAAGAAGCCCCGAGCTTACTTTACTGCTTAGCTAATCTTAGTAAGACTCCGAATTCCAGCATGCATGCGGTCCAATTGCACATGTTTCAAGACTTTGCTAGCCAGTTTACTCTTGTATGATCTGGACATGAGTTTAATTGTAACATAAAACTGTATAATAGTTTATTTAGTGTAGCTGCAGTTTGATGAGTGGGTTTCTATCTCTGCTTTGATAACTTATTTGGTGATTAGCTTGATCACATAGCATCCTAAATTCTCCTTAAGATTGTTTGCAGAAAATTGTGTTTAATATCTAAATCTACTGTCTGAACAACCTTCATTTTTGGGTATATGTCCAGGTTGATCTTGGATCACTAAAAGATACTGTTCCAACAGATAGAATCGTGGTCTTGAGAGGCGGTTGGAGTTTGTTTGGGAAGGGTTCTGCTGGGGAGATTCTTCTTCGGCTTACATACAAAGCATATGTGGAGGATGAAGAGGATGACAAGACCGATGTGAAAAAGATTAATGCCGATGTTTCTGATGATGAATTCTCAGATTCTGAAGAAGCTGGCTCATTTGTGGAGAATGAAAAGATTTCTTCTGATGAATCAGGCCAAGAGTCATTTATGGATGTGCTGTCTGCATTGATAGTGAGCGAGGAGTTTCAGGGTATAGTTTCATCAGAAACAACAAACAGTAAACTTTCTAACGGCGACACGAGTACTGTGCCTGTAACTTCCGGGTCTAGGGTGGACTCAAAAAATCTACCCGTAGATCCAGGTAATGCCTCTGGAAGCAATACGGGCGTATCAGATTCAGAATCTGTAGCGGCAAATTCTGATAAAGGTTCTGATGATGATGGAGGTATATCTATGCTATGTCTTAAGATGGTTTTGTTCCTGTGGTTTCTCGATGTAATTTAATACCTTCTTTGCTTCAGGATTAGCTTTATTGTGGTTCGGTGTGATAACTAGCATACTGGTGCTCGTAGCTATCAACATGAGCGGCTCAAGTTTCTTCAACCCGTAGTACGAAGTTGTATAGCTACTGCAGATTTCTGTCGCCCGAGTAAGTCTCGAAACCAGGAGTACTTGCAATCTCTCTCTTTGTAGTTGTGAAGCTTACCTACCATCTCTGTCAGCCGTTGTTTTCATGAGATTAGATTCAGTGGAATGGAAGTGGCTGCTCTCTGTTCTGCTTCTGCATATAGTTAAGGACCAACCCTGCATCTTCATCTTTTCCGGGTTAGTAGCTCATAAGAAAAATAAATTGAAATTGCATAAGGTTTTGAATCAGGGAAGTTGCGTTTGAAATTGATAATCACACTCCTAAAAGTTTCTGTACTGAGCAAAGACGGCAGAGAGACTATCCTGTAGTTTATATATCTGGGGAGTTTAGAAAGAATTTTTTTTTTTTTAATGATTTGTAGTCTTCCATGTGAGATGGCACAGTTCAATCCACAAAATCTAAGTTCGGCTATGATCGTCTTCCACATACATACATGCTTACATGCTTATAGGTATGTCTGCCTATATATAGGGATTCTTTTAGTTTTGACTTACCAAAGCATATTTTATTCAATGGCAGGTTGGTCTCAGATACGGCTTATAAAGAGGTTTCAGTCCATGTTGCTGTTGTATGCGTAGCCATTAGAAGTTGTACACTTCGCATCGGCAGCAGGAAATTTTGGATCTATTTTATCCAATCCCCCCAACGTGTGGTTGTTTATAGTTACATTAGATGGGAAAAAAATATTACTGTATTCTTTTCTTACATATTTTTTTTTTGGGAAAAAAATATTACTGTATTCGTTTCTTACATATATTTTTTTTGGCAATAAAAGGTTTACGGAAAAGGCACCGACTGTTTTTCATCGAGAATTCATGAGCTTGAGAAAAACTTGCGTGAAATTTTTGGTTCAGCTTCAAACATTTGAAGGCAAACACATGCCTTTTTAAAAGTATCAAACAAGGCAAAAGATTTAGTTATCTATTTGATAACAGTTACGAAATATTTATACTTCTCTTTAGAGCAAAAAGCGTGTGTAGTATGTAAATAAAGAGGAATTGCCACCGAAACTATAGATCTTCCAACGGTTTAGCTTGTCAAGAAAAAAGAAAGAAAAAATCTAATTGTCATCGAGAAAAATCTTTGTAGAGTTGAAAGAAAAGATTGTGGTTAATATTTATACCTGTACCCTCGTGTCAACTGAAATATTTAGATTTATTGCAAATTTGTATAGACTGGTGTACTTTCTAAAGAACAATAACTAATTGATTCGAAAAACATGTTTGGTTTATAGTTGATACCATCCATAGAAATATGAGTAATGAATAGTGATGTCACTGAATTCCCTCTATATTTTTAGATGGTTTGTCTAGCATTTTTTTTTATGTATGTCACGCATTCTTAGGACGACTAATCTCGATCTCATGTCTCAGTTATTAGGATGGGAAACTCAGATTTCCGCACACGAGATATGCCAAATGGTCGATAAAAATTTAATTGACAAAATTTTAAATGCGATAATTTTTTTTAAAAAAAAAAGGAATTCTAACAACATAAAAGATGCATAACAGAGAATTTTAATTTTTTTAAAGGCAGTATAGCCCAAAGTCATGGTGATATTAATACAAGACCAACTAATTATTGGTTTAATGCTCTATAATATACTCCATCCGTTTCAAAATAATTGTAGTTTTAAGTTGTTTTCTATGTTTCAAAATATTTGTCATTCTACATTTTCAATACATCTTTTTACATTATTTTCCAATTTTATCCCTAACATATTCTAATAAATTAGTATTAATCACACATTGTTTTTATCATCAAAATTTAATGAATATTAATTATATTTTGATTATTATTAATGTTTGTTTTACACTTGTTTTCATCTTCTCGTCATTTTTTTCCTATTTCAGATCCACATTTTTTCATAGATTTTCTTATCTCTATTTTTTTTTATTTTTACAATGAAAAAAAAAAGATAAACAGTCTACTTCACCATCCATGAAGAAATTTCAGATCAAAATGGAGAAAAACTTGAAGAATGAAGAGCAAAATAATCAAGCATCATCTAAAGTGGTACATGAATTTGATTTAAACAAATTTTATGTGGATGAAGGAGAATTTCACCCTGATAAAGAGATGCAACGTGTAATAATAGATATGATAAAGATTTATCTTCCAAATTTTTATTAGATCTACTTATATTATTACTGGAGATATTTTATTTTATCAACTAAAAATCAAAATTACATTTATCTATGATTGAAAATGATTTATTACATCCTGAACTACAGTAGGATCACACAATATTTGTTTGGGAAGTCGGTGTTCTCTTTCAAGCGCTTCATTCTTCATGTGATTAATTTTGTACTTGTTGGATCCTCCAACTTTCATAATTTCCTGCATGCATAGCTGTAGCGTCAAGAAAATATGGTTAATTTTTCGGACAGGATATTCTTCGAAAGATTTTTTGACAGCGTCAATAAGTTCCACCACATTCTTCGGGCATACTTTATGTTGAATCGACTGGATGACACTAAAAAATCCAAGATCTAGAACATTCAAATCAGGTGAATTAGGAGGTTGACACATCAATCGAATGTCAAAACCGGTCTTCGAAGCAGCCGCTTGAAATTCTTCATCACTTGGATCGATATGCGTCCTTGCATTATCTTGTTGAATAAAGAGAGTTTTTCCTAAATCATCATTTGGCCACCTTTCATGAATTTTCGGAATAACTTCTTCGATCAAACACTTTCTTATATTTTCTCTCTTGACCGAAGTAATCGGTTTTATTTCCATAGTCCCTGCTTCTCTATTTATACTTCTTCTCTGGGCCGGTTGCGCATTGACAAAAGGAAAAACTCCTATCTTCCCAGAGAAAACTGTTGGGTTTCCTGGGATCTCATGAGCGAATCCTATTCCTAAGAGATCGATTCTAGGGTTTGCGCAGCGGATGTAAAACAAAAATTTAATAAACCCTAGAACCATGCTGCTATTGAAATCGTAGAAACGTTAGAACGCTTACCTCAATCGATCCGGGGCCTGTATCAACTGAAGAATTCGTTCGATCACGAAAGGCAGGAAGATTACCTCGCCCTCTACACGTATCCACACCTCGGGATGGATTCCAACGATTGGAACTTGTCTGCTAGGACTCGAATCTCTATTCGGTTTGTGCACTTTGATAAAACGAGACTTTGAATTCCTTGAACTCTTTGGATCTCACCAAAAGCTCTTCGAATTCTCTGAAAGTCGGCTCTCAAAAGTCTCTATCTCATTAGGGTTCTTAATCTCCTCCTTATAAAGTGATTTAACCCTAATTCGGTTTAATTTCGGAAAAACTGAAGCCCGGAACGGACGGTCCAGAGATACACGCGGACCGTCCGTTCCAGCACGTGGAACGGACGTTCCGCTCACGTGGACCGTCCGGTCTGGTTCGGGCGGACCGTCCGTTCTGGACTTTCTGGTCCGTCCGTTCCAGCCCCTTCCGTCTCGGTTTTTCGTCGTTTTCTCTCGTGCATTTGTCCTTCCCTGCGTGTGTGACCCTGTAGGCTCATTCGATATAGCAGTATAACCCGAAATCTCTATTTCGGATATACAAGTCATAGGCGGTCTCTAGCAAGACACTATGACTACCTATCTCGAATAGAGTTTGTTCGTGATCTTTACGAACGCCAGAGATGATTCCGGCTGATGATCCTTTTGTATCGCGATATCATATGTCGAACATAAGGCATGGACAAGCCACCTCATCTGATTCGACTGCTTTCTCGTTCACTGAGTTCGACTGTCTAAAATAGACGACGTTCGTCTATAGTGCGGCCACACATTTCTACAGTCTCGCTCACACGAGGGGCCCAGCGATATCTCTCTCTTTTACGAGAGGTACAAATCCCGTCTTGACTATCTACAATCCAGTACATGATTCGTTTCGTACCTGATACACACCTTTATAATCCTCCTGTTACGCAGGACGTTTGACGTATTCAAAGCACACAACTCCTCATGTTGGATTCCGTAGATATCTCAGGTCTTAGGATCCAATCATGGAACCGTCATATGAGATTCAAGTCATGACGCTAGTCCATGTGACAATCTCATGCGGGTCATTCCAGTATTCCGTTCTCCAACGAATACCTATGATCGTGATCGTATCCAATACCTATGATCATCTATGTGATCATCAATCACACATCATACTAGTCTTATTATGTCATCATTCCCATAATGACACAAGACTAGGGAGTTTAGTATCATTCATAATGATACACGGATTTCATAACAGATATAGTATGCAAGAACATGTAATGAATCAAATACTCTCATAAAACCATAGAAAGTATCAATACATCGAATGTATCTGAACAAAGCTCATAATCAGTACATCATAGAGCACTAAACCAACAATCTCCCACTTGCTCTAATCATGAACTGCTAAACATCTAATGCCCATATCCCTAACATGACCCTCATGCTTCGACGAAGGGAGAGGCTTCGTCAACGGATCGACAATGTTGTCATCTGTCGACACTCTGCAAATGTGCACGTCTCCTCTGTCTATAATCTCCCTGATAAGGTGAAATCGTCTGAGTATGTGTTTGGATCGTTGATGGGATCTGGGTTCTTTCGCTTGTGCGATCGCTCCATTGTTGTCACAATACAGAGCAATGAGGCTATCAGCACTCAGAATGACACCCAAGTCACCAACAAACTTTCTGATCCAAACAGCTTCCTTTGATGCGTCCGACGCTGCAATATACTCAGCTTCTGTAGTAGAATCTGCAACGGTCGCCTGCTTGGAACTCTTCCAGCTAACAGCGCCTCCGTTCAAACAGAAAACATAGCCAGACTGCAATCTGTAGTCATCCGGGTCTGACTGAAAACTAGCATCGGTGTAACCTCTTACAGCGAGCTCGTCTTCCGACCCACCGTATACCAAGAACACATCCTTAGTCCTTCTCAAGTACTTCAGGATGTTCTTGACGGCGATCCAGTGCGACTCACCTGGATCTGACTGGTATCTACTCGTAATGCTCAACGCGTAGGATACATCCGATCGAGTACAAAGCATGGCATACATGATGGATCCAATTGCCGAAGCATATGGAATCCGATCCATGCGTTCTCGCTCATCAGGTGTCGTAGGACACTGACTCTTGCAGAGAACTGTGCCACTGCTCATCGGTAAGGTTCCTTTCTTGGAATCTTGCATCTTGAACCGTTTCAAGACCTTATCGATGTAAGTACTCTGACACAATCCTAGAAGACGCCTCGATCTATCTCTATAGATCTTGATCCTAGAATATAGGCCGCTTCTCCTAGGTCCTTCATAGAAAACTGCGTTCCTAGCCAAGACTTAACATCTTGCAAGGTAGGAACGTCATTCCCTATAAGGAGAATGTCATCCACATACAGCACCAGAAAAACTACTGTGCTCCCACTAACCTTCTTGTAAACACATGGCTCGACTTCGTTCTGTGAGAAACCAAACTTTTTGATTGATTTCAGTCGATACGGTTATGTCTATTTGATGAGACATAAGTCTGAAACACTTGAAATGTTCAAGGCTTTCAGAAACGAAGTACAGAACCAAC